AATCTATAAACATCCTTTATATTTCCTTTATTTCCCAATAATCCTTTAAGACTCCATTCTTGGCCTGTCATTTCAACTACTCTTCTCAATTTTTCCCTTTCAGGTTCATATGTTTTACAGTTCATTAATATGTAAGCATTCGTTCCAAATACTACATCCGGTTAGATGAAAAAAAATACATAAATAAATAAAAACACAATCAGGAAAATCAAACAACTCTTACAGTTATTTTGTCAACATTCCTAAGATAGTACTATAAAATATCTTGAATTATCTCAAATAAACTTCAGTAAAACAGTTATTAGATCATTGCCTCATCCATCTCTTTTACCTGCTATTGACATGGATTTAAATTTGATGTTTTAAAAGAAAAATAAGGAGGATATTTCAGGTTCCAGTATGGTTCAACAATATATAGATAAAAAATATTATGGATATGTTAAATTTTTTATGGATGCTTCAAAATATTCCAATATTAGGAATGGTGTTTTGTTTTAGTTTCATAATTTATTTTTAAATCGGGTAAAAGAATCAGTGATGGAATTCAGCCTACAAAGGAGAAATGTTTTGGATCATATTGGCCTTACAATGGATTGAAGAAATCGTTCCATTAAGAAGTTTAGTTTGCTCTGATTTTAGATCAGCGACCGTTATATTAATTTAAACGCAATTATTCAGACAGCAGACCTGATCTGAAATTTAACAATTATTATTTAGAAGACCTTTTACAGATGGACTCTAAATAAGAGGGTTATTCTTTATTATATATATTAAAAAGAATAATTTGATAAACAGGATTTTTCAGTTGGTGGCGGTAATTGTTGTTTGCCAACCTCCATAAAAAACAACAAAAAGAAGAAACACCCGCCACAAAAGCTAAGAGTAAGGCCAATATGATCCAAAACATTATCTATATACTGTTGAACCATACTGGAACCTGAAATATCCTCCTTATTTTTCTTTTAAAACAGCAAATTTAAATCCATGTCAATAGCAGGTAAAAGAGATGGATGAGGCAATGATCTAATAACTGTTTTACTGAAGTTTATTTGAGATAATTCAAGATATTTTATAGTACTATCTTAGGAATGTTGACAAAATAACTGTAAGAGTAGTTTGATTTTCCTGATTGTGTTTTTATTTATTTATGTATTTTTTTTCATTTAACCGGATGTAGTATTTGGAACGAATGCTTACATATTAATGAACTGTAAAACATATGAACCTGAAAGGGAAAAATTGAGAAGAGTAGTTGAAATGACAGGCCAAGAATGGAGTCTTAAAGGATTATTGGGAAATAAAGGAAATATAAAGGATGTTTATAGATTAAGGAAAGCATTATTTAGTTATCTTCAGAATGCAAAATTAAAAAATAGAATTTAATAGATGTAAAACAATGTTGCTACACACTCATGAACAGTAGGTGGCGGTATGCACCTTGAAGTTGCTTGCGATCCGCCATGATAGAAAAGAAGAAGAAGAAGGAAGGAATGCTTTCATTGGATGAAAAGAAGCTGGGTGTGATTGGCTGATGGTATGGTTCATTTACATACATTGCTGAAGTTGCGAGCGCAGAGAGTCGAGCGAGCGGAGAAACAGCCGAGCGCACAGCTGGTGTTGAGCGCAGAGAGAGAGCAGGAGAGCAAGCGCGAGCAGAGACGGATTCGAGCACGCGCAGAGATGAAACTGAGCGCGAGAACAGTGTGTTGAGAGGGTTTTTCAGAGTTGAGCGCGCGCCAGACCGGTTTTGCGCGCGCGCGTGTTGTCTCACTGCGCGCTCGGATTGGTTCCTGCGCGCTCAAACCGATGGCACAAATATCTCTCCATAGATCTGTACAATGAAAATAGCTGCATGAGCTGGAAAGCTGTAGAAAGCAACAATATTTATACAAAAATTACCATTTATATGATAATGACCATTATTTATATGGAGGGAAATATAACTCAAGCGATCTCTCCTCTCTCTCTCCTCCGCTGCAGCTGCAGACATGCAGACAGCATCGCGAGACTGCAGTAAAGTTTGCAAAAATATTCACAGATTCGACTTCTCTTCTATCGCGCTGGGAGAATTACATTGGAACCTATGGAAAGCACATTGCTCCAAAAATGCTCCGTCTGCAAGTCGCAAAATAATCAGAGAGAAATATTCAAAAGCGTCACCAAGGAGTGGTGGATTATTATCACATTCATTGGATTTGAAAATAATACATGTCTGAGGACTTTCCAAAAGCCTAAATGACAAATGGCACCTCTATTCTATTATTAGAATAAGTATAAAATGAGCAATGACTACACTATAGATCACTGTACTGCCTTCAAACTTGTAGGATAAACAGAAAACTTCATCTGGATCATACTACAACTCTTACTTTGGGAAGATAGGCCAAACTGATTTTTGGAGATTTAGTCTTTTTTTATTATAGGCATTTAATAGCCAATAATTACACTATAGATCATTGTAGTGCCTCCAAACATAGATAACCCTCATCTAGTTCATACTACAACTGTTACTTTGGGAAAATGTGCTAAACTCAATTTTTTTTCATTGTTATAAGCATATAAAAAGCCAAGAATTACTTATGACTTAGAGACTTAGACAGATTTATCTTGTTATTTTGTATACACAAGTGTAAACAAAAAGAAATGTTGTTTAGAACAGCTCTAGACAATTTCATATTTTAAAGTGCAGCCTTGAAAACAATAATAAATACATTAAAAAATTGTTATATAAACATATGACTGTATATGTACAGTTCTAACATCCTTTTTTTTTTCTTACTTTGGGAAGATAGGCCAAACTGTATTTTTGGAGATTTATTCATTGTTATTATGAGCATATAATAGGCAATAATTACACTGTAGATCATTGTAGTGCCATCAAACTTCTAGCATACATAGATAACCTCATCTAGTTCATACTACAACTCTTACTTTGGGAAAATGTGCTAAACTCTATTTTTTATTTTATTTAGATTTTTTGCATTGTGATTATAAGCAGGCCAGGTGTGCAATCTCTGCAACAGGAACCACAGCACTGAGCGTTGTGTGCACTGCACAAAGTATACCTGTCACAAATGCAGGAAGGACTCATCCTTGGGTTTGTAAAAACTGCTAAATGGGAAAATTGTAGCTTCATATGTAGAGCTTTTCCTTGGTAGAAATAAATGTTACTCCAGTACTGAAATCATACTGTTTGTCATTTTCTAAGCTGAAATGTTGAATGACGTGAAAAGGCGAGACAAGACAAGATACAATTATTCTCTAAGTTGTTTTCTTTCACATAGTGAGCTTTGCAACAATACAAATGAGTCTGTTGGTGAATGGACAATATAAGTAGGCCACGCTGCTGCAGGTCTCACTGTCAACAATGTTCAATTGGCTGGTTGGCTGTTGAGTGTTTTCTAGGATTCAGATCAATCCTGAAAGCCTGACTATGAGAAGGTTTGCCATTTACACTAAGTTACAGTAGTAACATGCCTCGCAAGGAATGAATCTAGCTTTGTGGTAATGGAAAGTGAAGGTTAAGCCAGAAGTGACCTCGCTAATCAATTAATCCTCGTTCGTGGTACAGGCCTTTGCACTGTTTTCCTTTGTTTTTTAATATGTGATCTTGTTTTGAATAGTACAACTATTCAGAGCAGCAAGAGAAATCCCTTCTTGTTAAATTTGTTTTGGGATACCAGACATTGATTATACACCTTCAAATATATTCTGCATTCTGATCAGTCAGGAAAAGGCATGTCCCACTGGCCAAGTAGCTGGGACACATGATCAGTCGGAGGCATAGTGACAGGACTGATATTCCTCTGACGGACTGGCAAGTAGACACGACTTTCACCCTAATGTCTGTGGGATCAAATGTAGCCTGGGCCCTTCCCTGTGTGCCTTCATTCCTTTAATAAAAAAAAAAAAACTATCAGATCTTCATTACCGACCAATCAACACCATACCTGAGCGTGGACTCAATGATTCCACTGCAGGTAATTACCTTCATATTTTCAGAGAGCATTCAAAGGTGTTGATGCCAGAATGTAAATTACATGGCTGTCCAGACCAGAGCTAGAATGCTAGATGTTTTTCAGGCCAATGTTCATACTGATTATTTTCCCATCAGTCTAATTAATATCCCAGATATGTAAAGATGATTTTGTGAGTTGATCATTTTGGTTGTCATTTCTTTCTCATTCTCCATTTACCTGATAAAAATTACAAAGGCACAACAAATGTTTCACAAGTCAAACTTTAAACAACAAGAAATATTTATTAAATCAAAACATTAACAATGGATAGCAATTTATATAGATTGAATGACAATACATGCTCTATTCATAATCTCAAGACTCTGAATGCACTGAGTTGGAGAAAGGATGCAAGCATAAAAATTAGCAAACAAAATCCCCCACAAATAATAGCTGAAATTACAGGCCCATTTCCAAACAAGATCTACTAGCCTCCAGTACTAGAGTATTCATTTCTATAAACATTATATGAAATATTTTGTATTTGCTTTCTTTAAACGGATTCAGAATATAAGCAGAAGGAAACCAAAATTAACTGTAGGAAAACATTTAAACAAAAAAACAAAAACATTTCCAAACAGCAGAACCAAAATTAACTGACAACTAAAGAAAAAACATGGAGGCCTGTTTTTCAGTGTAGTCCTGTTTCTCTGATTGTGACTAACGGTATGTGCTCTCTATCATCCTCTGACATGGGAGCTGGCTCAAAGCTCATCTGCCTGACTGTGTGTTTCCTAGAGCTGTTTACAGTTGCATTTGCTCTCTGCTTTTTCTGTATGTCTACTTCTGTCTCCTTTTACTCCAGTCGGCCTCAGCGGATAGCCACTCACACTAAGCCTGGTTCTGCTGGAGGTTTCATCCTGCTAAAAGGATGTTTTTTCCTCTCCACTGTCGCTACAAGCATGCTTGGTGTGAGGGATTGCTTTCAAGTCAATGAGTTGATGAAAGCAGCTGGTTTTCTTTAGATAGAACACATCAAACCAGTCTAGAGACAATTCAACCAGATCATGCAATCAAAGTGCCCTGAGACGACATGAGTTGTGAAATGGCGCTATATAAATAAACTGAACTGAAATGGAAATGAAGTGCTAAGCTAGCGCAGCCTATGCTAGCTACCCCTAGTGATGGGTCCAGCACCACTGATTCATGGGTGCATGTGTGAAGCCCATAGAGTAAAACACTGTATCGGTGCATGTGTCGCTGTCAGAAAGTCATGTGACCGATCCAGGAGTTTTTTTTCTAACGGACTGAATCACTAAACTGGGTTTAAAAATGTATCTGTCAACATGATGCGTCTGCTAAAAAAAGGAATAGGAACGTTTTAGCCATTTTTGTTTTTCTCATTGTCATTCTTTTCCTCTCAGTTATCACTCAACTTTTCCACATTAAAGTTAATTAGCTTTTTTTTTCTGTAAAATATGATTTAAAATCCTAGTCCACAAGCATCCTCATTCACATTTCCCCCTAAATTTTCACGTTATATGTTTACATAATTTATTGGCTGCATCTAAAAATATCAAAGATATTTTCAATGTAAACACAGTTATGAAGTAATACAATAAAACCTACAATAGCTCAAATGATATCGTTGAACTAGGTCATCAAATCAATTCAGTTTAGTCTGTCAAATAAGCTGCCTGTAGTGTCTTTAAATGTCCAGCAGGTGTCAGTATTCTGTGAGACAGACAATGCAAAGACCACTTAAGTTTCCCCACAAAGGGGAAACCTATTTGGCAATGTGTGGAACCGCTTCAAGATGCCTCATTAACCCATCACTAGCTACCCCTTATTACTACAAATAAAAATCATGTGAATGTGCCATGTAGAAAAGTGAAGCAGTAGTGGTTGTTTTTAAAGTGCTTCGACAGTTAGAGTAACTTAGAGATATCACAGAATGGAGAAGTTCTCAATACAGACTGCCTAATTCCCAGTTACCCAGATGTCCCTTCAAAGTAGTGTATTTGTGGGATAACGGCCTTACACTGTCCACATAAGGTAACAAATACTTGGCCACACATAGACAACCTCACTAGCTTAGGGTTCGTGAGGAAGAGTTAAGGCCAAATTATGGGATTCAGCCTTGGACTCTATTTTCAGTCCAAGCAGCTCCTCCTTAATGACAGCAGCCCTCCTCCACCCTGCTGGAGCCGGACTGGAAGGGCTTCCCGAGTCCATCTGAGGTCCTGGATCGCTCCACACCTGCTGTTTTACATTTACTTTCATTTAACAATAAACTCAAGGTTTGTTAAAACTTTTCATGGTTCTTTTTTAATAAAAAATCTCTTAATCACTTTTAGTCTTAAATATATAATATGAAACTAGACAGCAACAAAGATGAAAAGTACTTAAAAAAAATCTCTAAACTCAGAGTTCATCATCAGGATCCAGTCGGAGTCTCTTTGAACTCAAACTGCTGCAGCTTCAACCTCTGAGGATCATCAGGACACAGATCAGCTTCTCTCCTCCACTAAGATCATCCTCCACCTGTAGAGAAAAGAAGGATGAAGAGAGGAGATCAGTGAGTGTTTCCAGCCTCTCTCTCTCCATCAGCTGTCAGTCAGTGATGCAGCACATCCAGGATAAAGAGCAGCAGGGACTTCAGTCCTGTTCAGATCAGCTGTGGAGCAGAGCCAGCTTCCGTTCAGCTCTCATCTTAACGTGTTGGAGTGAACACACTTATGTTGAACTAGATCATAGTGATGGATTTACTGCTGCTCCATTTAGACACAGAAACTCTGGCTGCTGATCAACATCTCATCCGTTTCTGAAATATCAGCTGACTAAGAAACATGGAGGCTGTCCCTGAACACATCTGGATGAGACTGGTAACAGAAGGACATGTCCAGATGTGCTGAGTGGACTTCAGCAAAGGTTCTGCTCTGTAGAAAGACCACATGGTGACTAAATGGAATGATGGTTTGTGAAATCAGAGCCACTGATTTCCAGGCTGCATTCAGACTGATCTCAGAGCTGTGGCTAAGATGGAACTGATCAGTTGTTTCCTGTTGAAATGAGAGAACAAAGAGTCTGAGATCAGATCTGATGCTCCCACAGTTTGATGGATGAGGACCACTGTCTCTAGACATGTTGGAAGGGTGGCAGCTGGAATCCAGCTTCATTTCCTGGAGACATGAACACAGCAACAACAGTCGTCTTCACATCAACACAAACACAGGAACACAACCAGCTTCTGGCTCCTCTGATTGGCTGATTGGTGTCTCTGTGTCCAATCAGGAAGCCTGTCACCATTCTCCCCCCACTGAGAAGCTGAAGCTTTACTGGAAACACTGGGGCTAATTCTGAATACAGAAATGTGTAGCTTTTAGCTTCTCCCCCTTCACTTTTCATGCGTCAGCAGTTAGATCACTATTGAGGTTAGGACAGGAACTGCGGAGTGCTGTGCCATATCTGGACAATGTTAACTATACAATGGAAAAATATATAGATGACAGCTGTCAGATCCTGGACAGCTGGTTTCAGGGTAAAAAAATGCAAAAAACAAAGTTACATAGATTTATCTTATGACTATAGCTGACATTTATAAAGCCCAAATATATAAAGGTGAAAAATTTATCACACACAGTTCACATGAGGATATGATGTTTTTTCATCAGGTTGGCTGTGCCTGCATTTTCTCGCAAGACATTGTTGGAAACCATATAGCTCCTATTCACCAAATGGGAAGATCCCTATATTCAATGAACTGTTGAAAGTAAATATGCACTTTACTCCTCTTCCACTATCAGCCCTATTTGCAACACAGTTATGGACAATTCAGGCAAACGTACAGTATGTCTTAAGAGCTTAGCGATTTGCTGTATCCAGATTAAGTCAGGATGCCTTCTTTTCATCTTTATTAAGCACTTTATTTTCTTGCCTACTATGTATGCGAGAGCCATCATATGTCCTGCTGCTGAAATGTGGTATATAAATAAACTTGCCTTTGCTTTGATACTAACTGGGTCTAGAACAATTCTGCTGACAGCAGCTGGACATACTCCAACCATCTACTTACTTCACAGTCTTTAGCTCGAAATCTGGACTCTTTACAAGATCCTCCAGCTGCTGAACCCCAGACTCTTTCAGGTCGTTTCTGCTCAGGTCCAGTTCTGTCAGATGGGAGGGGTTGGACTTTAGAGCTGAGACCAAAGAAGCACAGCTGATCTCTGACAAACTGCAGCGCCACAATCTAACAGATGAAAAGGAGAGGAAAACATGCAACAGGAAACATATTAAAGCTATCAGAGAGGACAAGTGAAATTAAAGACAACATGCTGCTGCTTCAAAAATGGAATGTTAATGTGACTTAAAGCTACAGTGTGTAATAATTACAGGGATATAAAGTCAGAAATTGAATATATTATACATAACTATGTTATTTATCATCATCTACGAGCTCAGCCTTTTAACTATAATATTTGCGTTGCCTTAGAATTCGTTATTTATAATTACATAGGAGCGGGTCTCGCAGCCATGGAGGCAGACATCTTTGCGCTACGGCAGCGCAGAGGCAACAAACTAGCGATTGCGAGATCGCCCATTACGCTCGAAAGTAACTACGGCAAGTTGAGAGAGATGAACTGAGACGGTACTGAACAATAGATGGCAGTATTATGCCTGAAAAGCGTTTAGTCTGCCTGAAACCAAAGAAGAAGAAGAAGCAGGTATACTGCGCTTCAGTAACAACAAAGGTGAACAAGGCGGCAGGCGTGAGTGACTTTGCAAACTGTTTGGCACTGTGTGCCCAAACATCAGACGAATGGAGGATCATGCCTACTCTGTATCACAACGAAAAGCGGCGGACACCGAACCCCCGTCATCTAAGAAGCGGAAACACGACGAGAATAAACGCAAGCGTGACAAGAAACGACAAAAAACACGGATCAACATTGGCAAGGCATTTACACGATGGAAGTCACTGATGGAGGAAAAAGGTTTTCAAAGTGACGCTCAAGTCGCCAGTTTTCTGTTGGACAGGTAATTAATCCTACACACACAATTGTCTTTTTATACACGTAATACCCCACCCCCACATCCCGTTTCAACCAAACTATTGTCAAGATGTCAGGTAGCATTACCTAGATAAGGCCACAGCTTTATAAAATTACCACAGCTGATAGTGGCGTGTGTGAGTGTGAGAGAGACAGATATATGAAGCTGCATATTAGCGAGCTACGGATATATACCTCGGTTACTTCTCTCCGGCTCCTTTGGAGATCTTCAAGCCTTTCCTCCACTGCTCTAGTCACCCCGCTTTCACCTCTCCCTCGCCTGGCCCTAGCTGCACACCCACCCCGGCCTCTCTGCCCTCTTTCTCTTCCTCTTCCTCGCCTTGTAACCCCCGTGCCACAAACAAGACTTGGACTGTAAACGGGGAATATATATTCTTCCAGCGAACACAATCTCGCTGTTAAACTAATGACTACAATTACTTCGTCTGTTTATATCACCATGCAAAGCAGCTCACCAAAACGTCACAACGATGTAGAAAAAATAACGGGTATATTTATTATCTTAAGTCTACATGAAATCTATACCCTACTCAGACTAATGAAATACTATCTGTAAAATTATCTATGTAAACAAACCTCATCACTTGAGAAGGTAGGTGATGCGGACATCGTGGAAGACATTTTGTCCCGTAACGCTCGCCGTACTGTTGGGGGGGAGAGCGGGGGGGGGGAGATGTTCATGTTGCTGCAGTCTGCAGTCTGAGCGCTAGATGTCGCTGAAAATTACACACTGTAGCTTTAATATGTGGCTTCATGGTCTCAACCAGCAGCTCAGTTAATAAAAACACATTTATTAACTGTATGCTCACCCTTTTAGATTAACTTTTATATCAACGGGTTAAAAATCATATAGCATAGCATTTTTGTGCCAAACTTAGTGATCAAGCCGTTAGTTTGAGCTACAACTAGGGGTAGTGTATTATCAAATTTCCCTTATTGTGGGGAAACTTAAGTGGTCAGAATGGGGACATTC